TCTCAATCTTTCTCAATCTCCCTCTCTCAATCCCCTCCTCTGTCTCTTTCTCAATCTTTCTCAATCTCCCTCTCTCTCAATCTCTCCTCTGTCTCTTTCTCTCTCTTCTCTCTCTCTCTCTCTCTCTCTCTCTCCCTCCCCCCCTTCCTCCTCCCTCCCTCCTCTGTCTCTTTCTCTCTCTCCTCTCTCTCTTTCTCTCTCTCTCTCTCCTCTCTCAATCTTTCTCAATCTCCCTCTCTCAATCCTCTCCTCTCTCTCTCTCTCTCTCAATCTTTCTGTCTCCATCTCTTCCTCTCACCAGCCCAACGTCCAGGGGCCATCGTGCAACGAGTGTGCCACGGGCAGCTTCCACTTGAGCCACAGGAACCCCGAGGGCTGCCTCCGCTGCTTCTGCATGGGGGTCTCACGCCAGTGCGCCAGCTCCTCCTGGAACAGAGATCAGGTAGAGCCCTGGGGGCCGACTCCTTCGTGGAGGAGGGGGGTGGAGGGTTGGGGCACGGGCAACGCCAGAAAGGCACAGCTCGGACATTCCCTCCAAGGCCCTTCCTGCAATTGATTCCCCCCCCTCCCCCCCTTTCATTCCTGGCTCTAGGTGCAGCTGGTTCACGAAGATGCCCAGAGGGGTCAGTTCGGCCTCGCCAACTCGGCCAACACCCAGACGGTCAGCGAGGGGATTCGCTTTACGGGGGGCTCGGAGCTCGCCTTCTCTTCCTTCCACCTTCTGCCACGGGACGTCTACTACTGGGTGCTGCCCGAGCGCTTCAGGGGGGACAAGGTGCCTTTGGGAGGATGAGAAGAAAGGGGCGGGAGTGGGGGTTCAGATGGAGGGTGGGAACGTCCCGTACTGACTGAGCCTCCAAGCTGCACCCCCGAAAGTTGTTGTTAGTTGCGAAGTCATGTCCGACCCATCGCGACCCCCATGGACCACGTTCCTCCAGGCCTTCCTGTCCTCTGCCACCTTCTGGAGTCCATTTAAGCTCACGCCGACTGTTTCAGTGACTTCGTCCAGCCCCCTCCTTCTCTGCCTCCTCCTTCTTCTTCTTCTTCTTCTTCTTCTTCTTCTTCTTCTTCTTCTTCT